TCTGATATCTAGTATCATTGCTAAGCAGAACTTAGCTTCTGTAAATATTCCTGAAGGTAGATCAAATGTTACCCACAGAACACTAGAGAGAGATACTGCTTTGCCTCCACGATAGTAAAATTGCTGGCCAACCAGGTAAATGTAAAACTTATGATCTAATATCTAAAGAATATTGGTAGCCGTCCTTGCGTAAAGATATCAAGGACTATGTCTTGGAAAGCTGTGTCTTTAGTAGGACCAAATTGTCCCATACTCTGCTTTCTGGTTTTCTTCAGCCTCTCGACATAACCTTATAAACCTTGGGTTAGTTTTGCCATGGATTTCATTGTTGATCTACCTAAGTCAGACAAAAATATGGTAATCTTTACTGTGGTTGATAGGTTCACCAAAATGACACACTTCATTCCTTTACCCAAGTTGCCCTCTTCTCCTGAGTTGGCTACTGTCTTCGCCAAGGAAGTATTTTGTATGTATGGTATACCTCAAGAATTAATCTCCGACAGGGGTTCTCAATTTGTGTCCCGATTCTGGAGAGCCTTTTGTTCTCAAATTGGGATTACACTCAGATTCTCATCGGCTTATCAGCAGCAGAAAAGTCTAATCAAAGGATAGAGCAATACTTTGTGTCCGCTCATCAAGATGATTGGGTTGGCTTTCTTCCACGGGATGAGTTCGCTCTTAACAGTACTATCTCTGATGTAACTCAAAACATAGCCCTTTCTTCTTGAACTATGGTTATCATCCTGTAGTCCTTCCATCTGTGTTTTCTTCACGGGGAATGCTGATGGTGGATAAACACGTTGATGACCTAAATAAGGCTTGAGAGCACGTTCAACAGTGGCTTCTCCACAAATTGATAAAAAATATACCGATAGGCATAGACTTGCAGCTCCTGTCTTTTATCCGGGTGATAGGGTCTGGCTGTGTACTAAGCATATTCGTCTTATAGTCCCATCTGGGAAGTTTGGTTAGGCGTGTCAACCCTGTGGCATTTTGCCTCAACTTACCTCCTTCTTTTTGTATTCCCAATGTATTCCATGTGTCCTTGTTGAAACCCTTGACCTGTAATAGGTTCACCAACCCAGGTTGATGGGCAGGAGGAATATGAAATTCATTCTCTTCTTGACTCCAGGATGTCCCAGGGTAAGCTCTAATATTTGAACCCAGGTCCTGGGTTGCTGGGTCGGACATCCATGCTCCTTGCCTTGTTCTTTCTTTCCATTCATGTTTTCCTTCCCCTCCTGGTCCTTCCTGCCTGGCGGTCCTGTCAGGGTACCTTGTGCCACAAGCTGGCATCATCAGGCAAGGGATTGGGGACATGACAAACAATTCTCCCAGCGATTTTCACACCAGCCGTGGTAGCTCTGCTCATTTTTATGATGCATTAACCCGTTGTTGTTCTTCTTAGTCCCAATAGTGCGTTTATTTGTATTATTATCTTGGATTTTTACTTTTGGCTGTATTTGACGATTCTACCTTTTGTATTCCCTTGACCTTGGCTCTCGTACTCATGTTGTTCCTGATTTATGGCATCCCTGATCTTGGCTCGTTTATCATTACTTTCTGTTCTTGTGACATTAGTCTGGCCATTCTAACGTCCGGTATACATTGTTATTCTGTAACACGCTGCGTGCAGGATCTCCTGTTATTCCTGACATTCCATTACTCACAAAACTGAAGACTTGTTTGTTTTCATTATTTCATTCTAAATGTTCAGTTCAACCCCTCTTATACCGGACAGCAAGAGACTTACACTTTCCAGTACTATGATATAACGCCGATTGAAACCCACTCATTATGTGCACAATGTTGAATTTTATAAATTAGGGGAAAATATTATAACACATCTGAATTGTAAAACAAAAGGTATGTAATTGTATTGTAATGTACACCAGAAAGTGCTCTGTGCAAACAAAGGTGCTTATAATATAAATAGTAAGAGTCTGTTACATAGCAGTTACAATACACGTATTAGTACCCTCACACTTAGCACACGTACGTGCAAAAAAAGGTGAACTGAGTGATGTAGACCCACTCAAGTGGATTTAGTGGAGTGATAAAATAAATGACAATTTACCCTTAAACAAGAAGTGGACAATATGGATCTTAACTGCATTAATTAGAAAAGTGAAACATATGCACAATAGTGTAATAAACCCAGAATAGAGGAATATACAGAGTATGTGATGAATGCACTCACATGGAGCCGAGCCTAATGAGGATATACTCAAATCCCACCAACGGTGGCAAATTATGACAATACCAGCACCTGTTCTATGTCCAATGCAGGAAAGCTCAGATGAAGAGACAAAGCAAAAAACCTTTCCACAATGATGTAATAAGTATAGGATATAGGAAACTGCTCCACTGTTTGAAATACGTACATATGACTCGTCAAATTGTATTGATGCAAGTAAAGTATTGACAACTTGCAAATCCTGCTTGGGAATTGCTGATCCTGTAATGAATTCTACCATTTTTACGCAAAGTTATAATGTCATCATTAGAAATAAATTATCATTCAGATCCTGGTCAATATGCACCATCTCGATGTGCTATACTTATTTTGCTGGGGAACCTGGTCCAAAATTAGATTATATGACAAAATTATATGGAAAACGAACTGAAAAACAAGTTTAAAGTGCAAGAATGGCATGTGATTCTGTTGGCATTACACGGTATTACACAGTCTGCTTTGGTTTTGGAGTCTCATTACAAACTTATATACAGATGGTACCTGACTCCCTCTAGACTTTTTAAATTGCAACTATCCCAGACTAACGCATGCTGGAGGGACTGCGGTCAAGTTGGTAATCTGTATTATGCCTTTTGGTCTTACCCTAAACTAAAACAGTATTGGGAAGATATTTACACTCTAATTAAACTCCTCTCTGATCAAATCCCCATTATAACACCAGAATTGTGTCTCCTGAAGAGATTCCCAGATGATTTGCCCAAAATTAAAATAATTATTTTAGGACATCTCTTGGTTTCAGCCACTTCGGTCCTTCCTCAATATTTTAAACCAGCTACTATTCCCTCTATGACTGAGGTCTATGACATAACACTCTAGAAACAAAGAGATGTGATAAAGCCTTTAGTCCACCTTCCAATACAGCTAATGTTCTGAAATATGAATGGGAACTCTGGGAACGGGATGTCAAGAATCAATATAAATTATAATGTATAACTTCACCTGACCAGATAACAAATATTATGTTAAGCACATTGTTGCATGTAACAAATCTGGCATCTTTATTTATTTATTTTTTATTTAATTTTTATTAACTGACTATACTTTATTGAAAAAAAACCATTATTACATATTGTATTGGATGATATGTGCAAATTGTATTCCCCGGTTATTTGTTTTTCTGTTTTTTGTTTTGTTTGTTTTTTATGTAGGTTATTAAATAGATATTGATATTATATCATTATTCTTGCTGTTATGGAAACAAATGTATCTATAATAAAAACATTTGAAAATAATTGTACCATTTTAATAAAAAATGTCAAATTGTAAAAAATGTCTACTTATTGCAGTCACAAATACTCACATTCTAGATAGCATCCCATTATTATAGATTGTATTAGCAGTGCTCTTTTAAATAATTATATATAAACATATAATCCAATAAAAAAAAGGTATAACATGATACAAATTGTATCTGTTTTTTTTTACATCTGCATCACTGGACTAATATGGCTATAATGTATATATATACACTGCATGGCCAAAAAAAAAAGTCGCCACCAACAAAAAGGTCACACACTCTAATAGTTCATTGGACCACCTTTAGCTTTGATTACGGGACGGAGTTGCTGTGGCATTGTTTCAGTAAGCTTCTGCAATATTAAGATTTATTTCCGTCCAGTGTTGCATTAATATTTCACCAAGATCTTGTGTTGATGATGGGAGAGTCGGACCACTGTGCAAATCCCAAAGATTCCAAATGGGGTTTAGGTCTGGACTCTGTGGTGGCCAATCCATGTGTGAAAATTATGTCTCATGCTCCCTGAACCACTCTTTCACAATTTGAGCCTGATGAATCCTGGCATTGTCATCTTGGAATATGCCCGTGCCATCAGGGAAGAAAAAATCTATTGATGGAATAACCCGGTCATTCAGTATATTCAGGTAGTCAGCTGACCCTTATTATTTGGGCACATAATGTTGCTGAACCTAGACCTGACTAACTGCACCAACCCCAGTTTATAGCACTGCCCTCACAGGCTTGTACAGTAGGCATCACTTCACCTGCCTCTCTTCTTACCCTGATGCACCCATCGCTCTCAAACAGGGTAAATTTGGATTCATCAGACCACACGACCTTCTTCCATTGCTCCAGAGTCCAATCATTATGCTCCCTAGCAAACTAAAGCCTTTTTTTCCAATTAGCCTCACTGTTTAACAGTTTTATTAAGGCTTCATAGCTGTTCATTCCCTTGAGTTCCCTTCGCTTTGTGTGTACTTTTACTATTAAACATAGTACTGTTATTTTTCTATGATTTGATTTCACCAAACGTTAAATCCAGGTGGCAACTTGTTTTTTTTGGCCCTCAGTGCATATATTATATGATGTACAGTTCTCTTCTCACATCCGAGTTATCATTTTTATTATTAGAATACGTTTTTTGGGGTTTTTTTACCTCCTAATTTCTGTCTAAAAATCACCCAATCAGACTCGTCACAATAAACAAATATGGTGAAAGCAGTGTTTTTAGACCAGATCTCATCAAATGGTCTTCATTATCAAAAAAAAAAACATTATTTAATAGTCGGAAAATGGATGAAATAAATAAAACCAGATTTCTAATATCTGAGCAGATTGATAAAGAATATATCGCAATAATAAATAACTTTAATAATATTAAACATAGAATATGCACAGTGATTATTTTACTATTGATATATTTGACAGAGCCTTTGACATTGTTTACCTTAGGCATAGCAAAGTTTTTTTATAATTATTTCCGATAGCATTCATAAAGTAATTTACTGTGAAAACTCCTCCGATGACAATGTCTCCATCCATAAAATACTCATAATCCTGAAAAGACTGCGTTATTTCCAGATCACACTCTGATAATGTGTTCTGAGTTCTTGAATTGCAGGGAGTTACACAGAGAAACAACACACACAATAGAACCTTTACCCGGTATGTAGCCGTGTCTTGAATCATTATTTTTTCAGATAACACGATGAAGCCTAATGCAATGCAGGATATCACACAGAAATGATTTAATAGCATACTGTCCCTTACAGAATAATGCCATCTGCAGCCAATGTGTCACAGTGTGATGACTCTAAGCAATGTCCCTTCCTTTATACAGTGCCATGTAATACATTTCAATTGAGTCTGCATTTAGCTAGAAGCCTGTGTGCTTTGGGATCTCAGCTCATTCTATTTCTTCTGAATATATTTATTACATTGATAAATACTTTTAACAAATGTAAATGAATTTGTTTTAGAGTCATACATTTGCATCAGGCAAAGTTATTTATTATTTCCAGGGATTTCTTGAACAAATCACACACTGCATACACACTGCATACACAAATGCTTGCATGTTGTCATCATAGATGACAACTGTTCTGAATTTGCTGGGACAGACATGTCTTCTGCTCCTTTCCCAGCAAAAAAATTACTTGTGGGACCTTTAGGAAAAGAAATGGTAATGCAGAAACTTGGCCATCTCATAGTTAGGCTCAGCTGAATTTTAGTACTGAAAGCAATTTGGGAGCCAACAAAGCAGGACAATTTTGTCTATGGCTGCACTGACACGCAAAAAAAAGTTACAATATTGGCTGCTGTAATGGTTGATTATAATCTTTTTCCTTATTCCTCTTATCCTATGTTCTTGAAAAATGCAGAGCAGTAGTCAATTAAAATAAAAAAAAAAAGAGATTTTATCCAAACAATTAAGAAAAAAGTCAGTGGGCAATTGACAATCCATTCACCCATTCCACCATGACAAAAAAAACCTCATGCCCACATCTAGTCCGTAGCATCAGTATTCATCTGTCAGTGTTGAAGAAAAGACAGAGCCCCATCATCTTCTTCTAACTGCATCTGCAGAGATTGCAGGTGTAGTCATGCGACAATACTCAGTCGGACATGTCAGAAGTACTTCAATGAAAAGCATTTGAAAAAAGGGGGAGTAGCAGCTATTTATTTATTTGTAAATATATTTTTATTGGGTGTTTTAAATTTTTCAGTTTCGAACATGTCATGAGAAAACTTCGGCATGGACACGCAGGTCTCATTAGTTTTGCAAGCGAACTATTGCATTGGAACAAATGCTGCTCTTGTATGTATACACTGGTGACACGCAGGTCACATTTAAACTTAAGAAGCATAAACTAGTTGGACTCGCAGGTCCTATGGCATATACTTGTCATGTATCTCTAAGCGAATTTCAGTTTGGACACTTTGGTCCCATCTGTATGAAACGTTAACTGTCATTTTAGGAAGCGTCGTTCGGTCAGGTTTACGTTGAGTTTTGTGTGTTCATTCAACTAATTGAGACAACGTGTGTCTTAACATGGTGTATCTTAACCTGGTGCGGTGATATGTGGATCATTCATGAGAGGGTATGGTAGAGGTATAATGTTTTTTTTTTATGTGGAGAATCTTTTGCATGTGTTATGTCTATGTGAGTGTGTATGTCAGTGGCTTCCAGGAGTTACAAGGTGTTGGGTCTGAAATTTGTATTCTGTCATAGACTGTTATCTGCGTAATGTATTTGTGGGTAAGTAGTAAGTAGAATGTAGGGGTAGCTCTAGCGGCACGGGCGTTTTGCGGTCTTGTTTGGCTGGTATGAGTGGCATCTGTGTTCGTTGTGTGGTTGATTCCCAAGTCTATCCCATTTATTTATGTTTTCCCTCCCGCCTTCCCCGCGTCCCATGTCCTAGTCATGTGCTAGGTAGTCCGTTGGGTTGTGTGTATGTGTGATGTGGATCCCTCGGGAGGGAGAGCTATCCTCGTTCTTCGTGGTATCGTGACTCTGAGATCAGGATTTTCGGTCTCTAGAGTGATAGTGTGTGAGGTTCGCTTGGGGGTCTCCTGTTGTTCAGCTCTATCTTGGGTATTGGTGCGTGAGTCGGTGGTGTCGGCTTGGGTTCAATGAGAGGTCTGTATGATGTTGTTTTTCGGGATTGGTAGGTTGTTTCCAGTATCGTATGCTGCTACGTCCTGTGCCCTCATTGGTTGCGTTCATGGGGTGGTTGTGTGTTGGCGGTGTGTTGATTCTGTGAGCGTTGTGGTTGTATTGCATGTAGTGTGTGTGGCTTGTTAGGGGGAGGGATGGGTGGAGGCCCCTTAACTCCCTTCCCCAGCCGTCGCGCCCCCCCCTCTCGTCTCGCCACGTATATTATCCAAGGTTGCCACTTGTCAACGTGTTTCGTGAGGGTGTCTCGTAAGGTCGCATGCATTTCTTCTGCGAATCTGATCTCTTCTACCCTGTTTAGCCATTGTTCCATTGTGGGGGTGTTTGTCGTTTTCCATAGGGCAGGGATTAGAGCCTTGGCTGCATCGAGAAGGAGTCGTAGGATTTATCGTTTGTATTTTGAAATCGGGTCTTTAGTATGATGCAGGAGAGTGTTGTCTATTGACAATTGCGTTGTGTTCCCTAGTACCTCTTTGATGCGGGACGTAATCTGGTTCCAAAACGGTTTAATGTTGGGGCAGCCCACCAGATATATTTTAGTGTTCCAATATCTGCTTCACATCTCCAACAGGTCGCCGAAGTGTTGGGGAATATTCTGTGGAGCAGGTCTGGGGTTCTGTACCAGAATGTCAATAGCTTATAGTTAATTTCTTGGTATTTTGAGCTAATCGTGGATTTGTGATGAAGGACGAGAATTTTGTCCCATTGTGCGTCGGTGAAAACTTTGTCGGTGATGCTTTCCCATTTTTCCTTATACCGTCGAGTTGCTTGCTGCTCATCTGTGATTAGGTATTGGTAGAGCGTCGACGTTGGTTTCTGAGTCGGTGTTTGTTTGTCGCAGATGTCCTCAAACTACGTGAGGGTTCTGTGTACCTCTTGTTTGTTCGGTAGGGTGTGGTAGAAATGTGTCAGCTGGGAGTATCTGAATTTGTGCATGGGAGCTGGCGGGCCTTCCATTAGGCGTTCCAGGGGGGTCAGTCCAGTGGCGGCTAGTGTTTTGTGGAGTGGTATGAAGTCCCTTCCCTCCAGAAAGTCCCAGGCCTTGATCGGTAGTCCTCCCCCCACTGCTTGGTTGTGTGTTAGCGTGGTCATCGGGCTGGGTGTTGGGGAGATGATCGTTGTGTTCCTCATTGTTGGCCATATGTGGAGGGTGTGACTCGCCGGCGAGGTTGCGCCGGGGTCATTACGCCGTGGCGTTTTCTGATTCCATAGGGATGCAAAAATGGATGGGCTGCATGATTCTTTGTCCAAGGCCACCCATTGTTTGCATCTCGGGTTAGTGTGCCATTCCAGTATCCGTTGTAGGGCTGTCGCTTGGTGGTATTTGCGTAGGTCTGGGAGTGCCAATCCGCCCTGACTCCTGGCCTTGCATAATATTTCATATCTTAGTCGAGGTCTGCATCCTCTCCAGAGGTAGGTCAGGAATGCGGTTTTCATTGTCGCGAAAAAGGTCGTCGGTAATGCCACTGGGATCGTATGGAATAAATATAGTAGTCTGGGTAGTATATTCATTTTGATGACCGCTATGCGGCCGAACCATGAGATGTGTGGGTAATTCCAGGTTCGGAGGTCTTGTTGAATGCGTGTGAGGAGTGGGAGGAAGTTTTTCTGGTAGATGGCGTTGGGGTCAGCCATCACCCATATCCCCAGGTATTTCATTTGGGTATGGCACCATCGGAACGGGAAGGTCGAGGCTAAATCCCCGTGTTCCCCCAGTGGGTCCGTGATGTTGAGCAGTTCGCATTTGCTTAAGTTAAGTTTGAGGCCCGAGAGGTGTCCGTATTTTTCGAATTCTTCCATTAGGCATGGTAGGGTGAGTCTTGGACGTGTAATGAAGAACAACATGTCATCCGCGTATGCGGCTACTTTGTGTGTGGCGGTTGTACAGGTGTAGCCCGTGATGTTAATATTTCGTTGGATTGCCTCCAGTAGGGGTTCCAATGTTAATGCGAACAATAACGGGGACAAGGGGCACCCCTGCCTCGCACCATTGCGAATCGGGAAGGACTCCGTCAGAGCTCCGTTAACACGCACTGCTGCCGTCGGGGTGCTGTATATCGCTCCGATCCATTTCTGTATGTTGTCGTTAAACCCCAGTAGACGTATCATCGTTTTCAAGAATGCCCAGTCAACTCGGTCGAACGCCTTTTCGGCATCCGTGGAGAGTAGCAGGAGTGGTGTTCCATGTTGTCTTGCTAGATGTTGTATAGCGAGAACTCTCAGAGTGCTATCTCGAGCCTCCCGTTCCGGTATGAACCCCGTTTGATCAGGTTGCACGAGTGTTGGCATTAGGTTGCTAAGTCGGGTGACTAATATTTTGGTGAAGAGTTTTGTGTCCACGTTTAAGAGGGAGATGGGTCTGTAGCTGCCGCAGGTTTCCGGGTCCTTACCTGGTTTTGGGATTACTGTAATTGTAGCTGATAGTGATTCGGCATGGAATGTATGTCCCTCAGTGATGGCATTGAGCGCCTTTGTGAGTTTGGGGGCTAGTATATCTTGGAAGCGTTTGTAGTAGTCCAGCGTAAGTCCGTCGGGTCCGGATGCGCGTCCTGTCTTCGTCGTTTTGATAGCTGTCTTAATGTCGTCTTCAGTGATCGGGCGGTCGATGGTTTCTGCGTCTTCGGCCGTCACCGTCGTGTGTAGATGTTCTCTCAGGAAGCATTCCATGCGGCCTTGTTTGATTCGTCTGCCTTCTTCGTCGCTTTGTGAATGTGTATTGTAGAGCGAGGAGTAGTAGGTGAGAAATTCCTTGGCGATTTTCTCCGGGTGTTGGGTAGTAGTGCCGTCGCGTGTTTTTAATTTGTGGACTTGTGAGGGGTGTTGTTGTCCCCTGAGCATTTGTGCGAGGAGTTTGCCTCCTTTGTTTGCGTGGAGGTAGAAGAAGCCTTTAGATCTACGGAGTTGTCTCAGGTGTCTCTTGAGTAGCAGTGCGTTTAGTCTCCTTCTTTCCTCTAATAGTTCTTTGTAGGTATCTTCCACCTGTTGACGTTTGTGTTGTGTTTCCAGGGAGCGGATCCGGTCAAGGATGTTTGACATAAGTGCGCCCGCCTCTCTTTTCCGTTGTGACGCGATTTGGAAAAGCTTGCCCCGGAGTACACTTTTGTGTGCCTCCCATACTGTCATATCAGATACGTCTCCCGTCTCATTCTCGGTAAAGTATGTCTGTAGAGTGTCGGTGACTTGGGCCCTCAGTGGGAGGTCGGTTAAAAGGGAGTCGTTGAGTCTCCACGTTGTTTTCGTCAGTCTTATGAGTGGAGATTCGAGGTCCATCGACACTTGTCCGTGGTCCGACCACGTTGCAGCGTGTTTGGATGCTCTCCTAAGTCTTATTAGAGCTTCTTGTTGCAAAAGTAGGAAGTCTATCCTGGAGTATCTTTTGTGTATTGTGGAATAGTGAGTGTATTCTCTGTCTAGTGGGTTTAGTGTTCGCCAGCAGTCTACCAGGCGTAGCGTTTTCAGAGTATGGTGTATGGTTCTTATTTCTCTCTGTGGGATGCTGCTGTGTCCCGTTGAGGAGTCTACTTTAGGATTTAGTGTGACATTGAAGTCTCCTCCCGCGATCCAGGTTCCTTCCGTGAAGTCTGTTAGTGCCTTCAGTGTGTTCTTGAGGAATCTAGATTGATTGTTGTTGGGGACGTATATTGTCGCGGACGTGTAACATCGCCCTGCGATATTCCCCTTGACGAAGGCGTATCTGCCGTTGTGGTCTATAAGGCGATCCTGTTCCTGGAATTGTAGACGAGCTGCTATAAGGATCGCGACCCCTGCCTTTTTCGCTGTAGGGTGGTTGCCGTAGTAGTTAGTCCTTCTCGAAAGTGAGTTTCCACTCCTTCTCGAAAGTGAGTTTCTTGGAGAAGAGCTATTGCAACCCTCTCTCTCTGAAGTTCCCTCAAAAGATTAGTTCTGCGTTCTGGGAGATTCAATCCCCTGCAGTTTTGCGTGATGATTTTCAGCGGGTCTGGTCTGTATGCCATCTTGTCCGTATCTCTGCGCAATGGTGGTGACTTGTCGGGTACCGGGGTCCCTCGTCCGCGTCCCGCTCTCTTATGGACGCGGGAGTCGACCGAGGAAGCCCGATCCCGTGGCTTAATTCCTGGGTTTTGATGTGGTTCGGCGCCTCTGCGCCATCTGGTAGTTGGCTCGAGGCGGACGCGACGGCCGGGTCAGGAGCGCAGGGGGGGGTGGGATGTTCGGGTGGGTTGCTGGACTGCGGTCACGTGTGAGGTGGCTGGCGTTTGTGGAGTGTTGGTATTTGCTCCTGTGTGGTCTTGGGGAGTTGTGTCTGCTCAGGCTCAGTGCCTTTCGGTTACGTTAGGCTCCGTGCCTGGTTCGTGTGATGGGGGTGTGTGTTTCTTATTTGGATGTTGGAGAGTAGGATAGGTGTGGTGTGCGTGTCGTGGTAATGTGAGGAGGTGAACCTCTCCATGGAGAGGGAGTTCGTGTGCCTACGGTGTCGGTCGGAGGTCACCCCGAGATCTATCCCGGTGGTGTACCAGTCGGCCTACGTAGTATCAAGCGTGCGCACCGAGAGGGGTGGGTAGCGTGTCTGGGCCCTTATCCGTTTAGGCTATGGTGCCTGTGTGGTATATGCGGTGTTAGTTGTAGAGTCGATACTTGAGAAGGGTTGTGTATCGTCGGTATGATCTGTTAGTTGTGTAGAAGTGTATTTCCGTTTGGGGTTGTAGCGTCCGTCCACTGTAGTAGAGTTGTTATATAGTCATCACTAATGCCATTGGTGTGTGCCTGTAGTGTTATCAGCACTATGCCTGTTTGTTGCGCCTTTTCGGTGTCGCTGGTGTCGGGTGGGGGGATGTACCGTGAGGGTAGTTTGCGTGTAATCAAAGTAGGGGCTTGAGGATATCTCTTCGGGGTGTGTGCAGTGTGGGTCCTCTTCTCATTATGTCTGGGTCGTTGCATCTGGATCATGTTGATGTATTTTTTTTTTTTTATTATTATTTTTTATTATTTTTTTTCCCCTCTTTCCCCTCTCCCCCCTCTATGTCCCCTCGCCCCGTCTCCCGCCCCTTTTGTTCATATTTCACAGCCTCCAGGGGGTGGTGGGATGGTCGTCTGCCCAGTGTCTTCCCGTCATCAGTATGTCGTCTGAGTGAGGCACTTGTGATTGTATGTAGTGTATGGACCTCTTTGGGTGCATGTTGTCTATACATGTCAGTCCTTTTGACGTGAGGGGGAGGGCCCGGTAAGTAACACAGAGTGAGATTGCATAGTCTAGCCTTTCAAAATAGGTTACTCACAATAGTCATACAATAAGCAGCAGTCTCGGGCCTCACAATCAGCTATACATTTAGCATGGAATCAGTTCTTCGTCTTCACGAAAGTCAATGCTGCAGGAGGTCTCTAGGACCCGATCTCTATGTCCCCAACCCTCCCCCCTGTGATTCCCCTCCCCAATAGGACTTACTCCCCTGCTTTATTTTTCTTCCCGCCCCTCCCTTTTCGTCCCCTTGTTTTTGTTTTGTTTTTTTTTCACTTTTTTTTTTTGTTGTTGTTGTTGTTTAGAACCCTTTCGTGTTGTGGAGGACCCATTTGCAAGTGAGATATCCCTTAGTTCGGTCAGTATCAAGATGAAGAGTGGTACCTTCCCGCACCAAGGGTGGTGGGGGGGGGTGTCCCCTCTGTTAGTCTCGTGCCAATGTGTTAACTACCCAATGTCAGAGTACCTGATTCTTGGGGTGCGGGTTTGCCTCCAGGTGCTTCTCCAACGTGGGTTCCAGCTGTCTGTGTTGTCTCGGAATTGTGGGGTCTACAGGAGCGGTGTCGGTTGGTCAGGTAGTGGGTTATTCCTCTGGGTTGTTTAGATCTGGTCGGTGTCGCGGAGCTTCACCCGGAGAGTTCCATCTTCTTCGCCTTGCTTGTCGCTGCGGTTGTGGTCTTGGATCCAGCGGCATGAATACCCAGTTCGGAACGGGGGTTGGCGGCAGGTTCAGGCGCTGTAGGAATTGAGGAATGTCTTCTGGCCATCGTGCGGAGACCCATTCGTTATTATAGCGAACTGTGATGCTAAATGGGTAATCCCATCTATATTGCATATTCCTCTCCCTCAGGATGGTGGTAACCGGTCTCAGGGCTCTTCTAGCCTCCAGGGTCATAGGTGATAGGTCATTGTAGAGGGATATTTCTGCGCCCCTGTAGTTCCAGTGGGCCCTGGACCTAGCTTTCCTCATGATCAGATCTTTGATGGCGAAGGAGTGCAGGCAGCATATTATATCCCTGGGGGTCCCTTCCGTGGGCCGGGGACGGAGTGCTCTATGTGCCCTGTCATATTTAATAAGCGCTGGTGTGTCCTCCCTTAGGATGATGCGGAATAGGGAGGTGAGCATCTCCTCTATGTTTTCCCCCTCTGGAGATTCAGGTATCCCCCTTACCCTGATATTGTTGCGACGACTGCGGTTGTCCTGGTCCTCTAGCTGTCGCCTCATGGCCAGTATGAGAGTGCCTTGGCATTTGAGGGCCGTGTCTGTGGCTTCAGTGGTCTGTACCCTTTTTTCTACCTGGGTTCTGGCACCGGGTTCTCCTTTGTTTCCCTGAGCACCAGGTTCACCATTGTTACCATTAGGTTCAGGGGAACCTCCGGGGCCTTGAGGAGCACCACAGGCACCAGGGAAGCCAGGGGCACCAGCAATACCAGGAGCACCAGTGGGGCCAGCTTGACTGGGAGAACTGGGTTCACCACGAGCACCTTGGAGTCCATCCATTTTTTTATTTTTTTTTGTGAGACTGCTACCCACAATTAAAACAGTGTGTTCCACCAATGCTGAAGTTGCCATCTCTACAAAAGTTAGACCCTGTGATCAAATCCTCTACCTCTGCCTCTAAAACTTTTCTGGTTCACTTTCCTATCACCTCCCAAATTTCTTTGTCTCGTCTGCTTAGGGTCACAATGCTGTAAACCCTGTGATTGATACAACATATTATTTTCCTTCTTTCTTTCTATCAAAACAACCTGCTGTATCTTTCTCATGAATTTTCCCAAGAAATTCAGTTGGGGTCAAAGGGGGCCGGTCACATTTAAATTGTGTATGTAAGGCACGGTTGCCTAGGGGTAAATACATAAACAGTGAAAGCAGAGTCTTCATATAGGGTTTGCAATACTGACTGTCTGGGTCATAGGTGTAATGCAGACATGCACTAGGTACCTTTCCATTGTCAGAATACATTGAAAACACTAAAATATTGCAAATATTAAAAATCATATTGCAGCTGTTTCCTACACCTGCAAGGATACATTGTGTATCAAAAGTCCAACCACAAAAACTAAATTTTATATGCTTATCAAATATGAGTTTAACCCCTTAGTGAGTTAATTGGGTGACCTCTTCCCATAATATGGTTCCTTTTATAATTATTATATTATTTATTCTCTTCTGGGTCTGCAAAATGCTTTCAATTTACCAATAAAAATATAATACAGTAGTTTAGAATTGCCTCACTTATAATCATCAGAAATTGTCTGATCTCTATTAAAAATACCATTTCATCATCACCCTATGATCAATGAGGTATACTAGATGAATCTTATTTAAAAAAAAAAAATCTATCCTATACATCCATACATTTTTCTTTTTATTTTTGTATAACCATATAACATAACAATTATTTATGTCAAAGATAACATACATGTTTCTTTTACTTTGACATTAATAATGTAATGCACTTTAAAAGTAGCGTTAGCTCTAAATACTCCCCTAATGGAAACGTGATCCATGATTTTGAAAAGCAGATTTTTTCCAGGGGCCCCTTTTACGTGAGCTGATCAGCATTTAATCTGTTGTAAAAATACATTAAAGGCTTGCGTTAATGACATGCAAATATTCTTTAAATATTCTTCATACTCATTGTAATATTACACATGTAATCTTACAGCACAGAACACAACGAACAAAGCAGATATCCAGCAGACATGCCAATACAAAAAGCATATTCATGGACAGGCAATTAACTCAATCCAAAATAAATTAATAAATGTCACACTCGGTGTCCCTCAAAAGAAACACAGACATAATGTAGGTTCATATGTTTGTGCATTATGCATTTCTGCAAACTATGCAAGCTGTACTGCTTTAAGATTAGACCAAAGAACCTGGCAACTGGACAGGAAAGTCAAATTTTGGCCAATGAACAGGAAAGTCGAATTTTGGCAAAAAGTCCATTATTGCAACAGAACTTTGGAAATCAGCTATAACTTACAAAAACAGCCTCCCCCCCCCACACCCCTCTTTTTTTTCTTTTGCTAAAGACTCCTATTGCTCTTGGACTAGCATTCAATAATAAATCAGTAATTTAATACATTATTACGCTGCCATTTCCATCTGTATCAATACTGAGACAAACTTATTTAACTATAATTTAAAATAGCACAGCAAAATACCCATTAACATACATGACAATTAAACTGCATAAAATGAGTATTAAAAACACACATTTATCACAATCACCATTTACACAGAATAAACTTTTAACAGCTGTATTCAGAACATATTATTGTAAGGTATACCAATTTTAGTTTGTATCAGATTTATTTAAGAGTTCTGGTACCAAAGGGATTTTTTTCTTTTTAAAGAAGGGATCCCGTACGGCCATATAACACTTGACTTAAATATTTGTATGACAGAGCAATCCGCCACATTGTATGTAAAGCCTTTCTCGCCTGCTGCCTTTGGACTATGGCCCAGATTACAAGACATCTTTTTTTACCTCAGAAAATATTTATTCTGCTTCAAAGCCTGGGGTTCGGTAATTTGTTTGAATGTGTTACACCCAGATAAAACCCATGGAGCCCATTCGTAAAAACTGACTCAACAGTTTGGTCCATCGATTAAACTCTATTCGTTTCTGATACCAATTCGCTTAAAATGTTACCTGTTACAGCACAATAATGTTACAGCTGTGTTTTAACAATAAATGAACTTTATGTATTTTAAATTTACAACATCTTTTTGCAACCAATGCTTAATGGAGTCTTGTGCTTGAATGGGAGATAATTGAATTACTTATCTCAATATTTTGCTCTGAAAAGGTTTGGGCCTAAAGCCATCATCATTTATCACAAAGGAAACATTTTTATAATTTTGAACCCCCTTGATTTTTGAATTTTTTGATATTTGTTCCCCTGAATGATTGATTGTAATCATTAATTTTAATTGAATCCCACTAGGGTTTTAAGTTAGAAAGTTGGGTAAAAGTATGTTTTAACATATGTGTATTGAGTTACCTCAGAGGATAAGGGGATCAATATGTGGGGCCACTTATATGTGTATGGGGTTTATATACCTCCCTGAGGGCGGTAATGATTTGAGTTGTTAAAAACCAGGCTGGGTGTCCAGTATGGGGCCCTATTCTCAACACTAGCAGTTGTCTCTTGAATTGGGGGGGCACCTATTTTTTAGAGACTGATTGCCAGGAGTTAAGCTTTATGCTTTTCCCTTCGACCGGACAGCTTTTGGGAGTTTGTACGGGAGTTGGAGTGCTATTTTAACAGGTTGTGAGTTTTGTGTTTGCAGTTCTGACCGCATCTCTTAAAGTTCCGATATAAACGGTTTTTACCCCTTTGTGCAAAGGGTTTGTTACATATGTCAGCGGTTAATCGTTTTTACAACCGAAAATTGTACAGGAAAATTTTTGATTTTACTTAAAATATCTTTACTGACCTTGAAAATAGAATGAAACAAAGCAAGGATTCAATTTCTGTACATAATTTACCTATGATGTGGTTCGGCTGAACTTCTAGGGCTATAAGTCCAGTGGAAATCCTGAAGTTTCAAAAGTCATTTTTCAAGATGCTGTACCGGGCAAGTTATGAGGGTATAAGTACAAGTAGGAAATTGCTGTTTCAAAATGTACATTTTTCAAATGATCAATAGTGACATTGTAACACTGTTATGTCATGATCTCCAAAAAACACCCCA